AAACATTCTCCTCCCCGACCCCCGCGTCGTGTGTCGACTTACCGTCGTCCCCTTGGACGAGAAGTTTGAAGCCTGGTCCGGTGATCTCCTGCCTCTATTTCCCCGGAATTTAATCCCCCCAGGGAAAGGAAGAACCGATTACAAAAGAGAGAGAGAGAGAGAGAGAGAGAAATTAAAAAAAAGAAAGAAAGAAAAAGAAGAACACAAGCAAAAGCAAAAGACATCTCGACTCACGTAACCTCTTTTTTTTTATTCATCACCTTTGGGAATACCTGCTTGCATATATCACTGTTCTAGGGGGGAACGAAAACCAAAAGCGCGCAATCCACAGAAAGATTTACATCTCCACTCTTCCGTCACTGTCTCGTTCTGATCACCAATTCTATAACTTTTCTGTTACTACCCCTTTCACACTTCTTCTTGGCTCTGCTCTCCTTTGAGTATCTTCATTCTTCAACATATTAATTATTTTGTCCACCCACAACCGTCCATCTACCATCGTATGGACTGAACCCATCCTAGTCCGTGCTTCTTCATAACAATGACCAATTCCGCCGCATCACCGTCATCGGCATCCAACACTCCCATGGAGACTGATCCCAAAAGCAAGCGCAAGGCCTCTACAGCCGGTCTGCCGGCCAACTCCCGTCCCGTGAAACGGCGGGCGTCCAAGGCCTGCTGCTGTTGTCGGGCTCGTAAGGTGCGCTGTGATGTGGTCGAGAATGGATCACCATGCACCAATTGTCGCCTGGATCAAGTAGAGTGCATTGTCACTGAGAGCAAGAGGAGAAAGTTCGTCCATGTCGAATCTGTCTCCCGTTTGATTTCCACTCCACAGAATCTCCGGCTAACCTCGAACGCGCCGTGTTGCCACTATACAGGAAATCACGTGTGGAAGGTGACAATAGCAGCTCACAGTTGCACTCGCACTCTCCTTCTGAGGGCGCTGAAGATGCTTCCAACCTCTTCCGCAGACTGAGCGAATCCCAGGGGCTATCCGATGTCGCTCCTGCGTCTCCGTCCCAACGTTCACTGGATCTAGACCAAGGACAGCACATCCCTCATCTTTTGTGTGCGTATTGATCCTCCAGTTGCTTCCACTTGGATATCAACTTGCGCCCAGCATTGTCTAATCCATAATCGTGTTTTAGATCAGAGTCAAGTCAATCGGGCTGGCTCGGGAGATCGCTTTCGACGAAGAGTGGCCCTCAATCCGGCTGTTCCGGCAACTCTACCATTGCACCATGTCACGTCACAGATTCAGCAAATGCTGGACCCCTCTTTTGCCAGTGCAAGAACGGGCGGAGTCGCTTTACCTGATTACATTCGTGGTCTACCACCTCGTCTTCAAAAGGAAGACATTGAGTACCTGTACCAGAAGGGAGCGTTGACCGTTCCCGACGTGGGTTTGCGCAACGAGCTGCTCAAAAGTTATATACATTACGTGCATACTTACATGCCCCTCCTTGACCTGGAAGATTTCCTGCAGACCATTGTTCAGAATGACGGCATCCGTCGAATGAGTCTATTGCTCTTCCAGGCCGTGATGTTTGCGGGTACAGCGTTCATCAGCCTGAAGCACCTTCATGCAGCAGGCTATCCTTCCCGAAAAGCGGCGCGCAAGGCTTTTTTTCAGCGAGCAAGGCTTCTTTACGATTTCGACTACGAAGTTGACCGGATCTCACTGGTTCAATCACTGCTCCTGATGACATATTGGTATGAGACACCGGATGATCAGAAGGATACCTGGCACTGGATGGGTGTAAGCCTGTCTCTCGCACACACGATTGGCCTACACCGGGATCCGGGTAACTCCCGCATGGATGTTCGGCGTCAACGGATGTGGAAACGGATCTGGTGGAGTACATATACACGCGATCGCCTGATCGCACTAGGGATGAGACGGCCCATGCGTGTAAAAGACGACGACTGTGACGTTCCCATGTTAACCCTTGATGATTTTGAGTTCCAGCCGTTTTCCCCTGAAATCGTGAGCATGGTGGGCAACTCGGAAATCTTACAGAACCCGAAACACCAGCGGGAGCTAGCCCTCATGTTTATTGAAAAGGCAAAGCTCTGCTTGTGTGTCAGTCATGTATTATCTGCGCAGTATTCGGTCTTGAGCCATAAGTTTGGCGGGACAATGGAGACTACGATGATGCTGGTACCCAAAAAGTCGGCAGCAGAAACGTTTGAGGTTCGCCGATGTGACCAGGAATTGGAAGACTGGCTGGCCCACCTTCCCACCGAAATTCAGTATGCCCCTGCCGCACCCGCCAAACTTGGCGAGGCCCAAGAGGTGCTTCATTCCCATCGCGCGTTACTGAAAATGGTCTATTTGACCACATCCAGCGCCCTGCACCGCCCGCAGGTTCTCCCTGCGATCCCGTTTCCATCCACGGATGCTGAATTGCAGGAAATATCAAGGAACAAGGTCAGATATGCTGCCATCGAGATCACGAACATCGCCCAGGATCTACATAGTCTTGATTTGACGCGATATTTCCCTACCACTGGCGTCACGGTTCTACTTCCCGCGGTCATAATTCATCTTCTCGATATCAAGTCTAGCGATCCCACAATCCGAATGACCAGCCTTCAACGATTCTATCAATGCATGCGGATCCTGCAGCGTCTTAGAGAGATCTATGCGTCTGCCGATTTCGCGACATCGTTTTTGGAGGCTGCGATCCGAAAGGCCGGGATCCAGCTTACAGTGGCGCCACAGGATGTGCACTCACGGTCCGGCAGTACGCTTGGCGCGACTACTCGGGTTAATGCCTTGACTCCACCCCCAGATTCTTTGGCACAGAAGATTCCCGACCTTACATATCCGAAGTCCGACACAACCGGGCTTGTCGAACAACTGGCTGCAGAAAGCGGGCCAGCCTTTGCCTCTACCCCGCCGCCTTCCGACGGCAGCGAGAATGGCAGCACAAGCAACATAAACCCAAGTTATCATCATCAGGACGCATTCAGCATCCCCAATCTGGATTCCGAATTAAGTTTGAGCCAACTGATGGACTTGGCGAATGATGCCGAGGTCACCCAAAATGATTTCGATGCTCTCATCAATTTTGACGACACCGGAGCCGATTTTCTAGGTGTCGACGATAGCATCAATACCACCGGACTCACTAGCGGTAAAGGCTTTAGTTTGGGGCTAAGTGCCTTGGACAACTTACCCGACATGGCTACATTCAATTCGACGGGGAAGGGTCTTAACCTTCCGGGTCTAGAAGATGAGCAAATCTCTGACGAGCGCGCCTCTGGTGTGGGGCATGCTGGGATGAATACAATCTCATCCGACCTCGATGCCGAACTCGGATTGAATCTTTAAGCATGGCCTGTGATGCTATTCACCGCTTCTCGAGTGCAATTTTACCCGTGTTTCTCTTCCCCACCCCCTCCCCCTAAAGTGCGTGTATTTACTGATTGGGATGGTGGCCTGTTGTGCCCAATAGCGCACATGCATTGAACACCCTTTTTTGCGGCCTAGAATACAGGCAGGTTTTGTAGGGCTTTTTACCTTTTCAGGGCTTGGTGAACCCCTCTTGTGGGATCCGGTTAATGACTCTTTCCATGTTTGTTCTTGAGACGGAGTTGGCATTTGTGCCTGCCGTCATAATATGTATATAACCTGCACAATCAGCCGCAGGACATCTGATGAATATAAATGTGTACATGATACTGGCAGGTGCATATGAACTATAATATTGGTTTGAGAGCGTTCCCAACTCCAGCGCCCCGGCAGATGAGGAGTCTAGTAGACTAATTTAATTTGTACGTAGTCAGGGTTGACCGCTCTGCCCCGCCCGATGGAGCGAGCTACGTATTGTAGACCTGTGGATCCACCATGGGCCTTTGCGGATTCCCAGTCTAGCAGTCAATGTACCATTCCTGGTGTTGTCTGTGCATCTAGACCATTGCTCTATTCATCATGGCACACAAGCAACCCCTTCAGGTCCTTTTCTATCAGTCAAGTCAAGACATTTGGCCCTGCCACACACGCGACCTGGAGGTGCTGTGACTTTTGCACTTGCACCCGAACATCATCCCCATCAGTGAATGAACTAATGCAGCTCGGCAGACTGCTGCCTGCTGCCTGCCGCAATCCCTAGTTTGAGCAACATTGCTAAGTAATATGCGAGTCAACCTCCCTTTACTGAGGCTGGAATGTTCGGGATGTGTATTGACCGCATACTACGACCCAAGGTACCTACACAGCAAATTCCTTTAGGTCGAATGTAGATTCAATAATAGTATACATACATACATACAGAGAGATGGATGTTTATATGTGTGCGGAAGACACCACCTGATGCAGGCACCGGCTGTCACTGTGGGTACTGTCCAGTCCCTTCAGAGATCATACAAGCAGACGTATGGCCTGGAAAAGGGACTGGTACGCATGCACATGATATATATCTCCACGGACGGCTGCGGGTGTAGAGTATAGTACAGACAATGAGAATCGGCATACAGTCTCCGAGTCAGCTATATGTTAGTGTGTGGTCAAAGTCATAGATGGACTGATGTCTACCGATCTTGGTTTGTTTTCCGGCCCAAGGCAAGTTTTGCTGGTATCGCGGGTAAAAGGTAGCTAACTCTTGGGCAATATAAAACACTCACGATGCTTTCCCTGATGGCAGGGCTAGGTGGTAAAAAAAAAAAAAAACAGGGGTCCATGTGGTCCACTTCCTTACGCAGGACACTAAAAGTATAGTTGGTCAGATGAGGTAGTTGATTGAGCAAGCGAAAATTGAATGGCTAGGGTAATGGTGGAAGAAATATGTCATTAAGGGCTCCTACCCCTGGTATCAGCAAAATAATTACGAGATATGAAGATTAAAGAGATTAAAAGATGGAAACAAGAATATGCGTCAAGGGGTCGGAAGCACCAGTAACTTGGGCCAGACCAGTTCATCATCGCAGCATCGCGTCATGTAACCAGATTGCCGTCCTTTCATGGGACACGCAGTTCAAGTCAAGGAGAAGAGTTAACTGAGAGAGACGCGCTTCTCATCCTTCTTATCAATGGACTGTTGCTCCTCTAAAGGCACAGATACTCCCACTTCTTGAGCGGTCTCGTCCGAGAAGCGTAGATCAGCCTCCATGTCCGCGTGCTCCTTGATCTTGAGGAATACTACAGGGGAGGCAATCACAATACTGCCAGCAAGGAGGCCCCAGCAGGTAGCGAATTCCGTCATGAAGGGAGTATTCTCCGCATCCAACCTGTGGATCAAGCCAGTTAGTGACTGATATGAGTAGGGGAATGCATGATGGAGACTTACCGCCACATGCCTGCTGCACCAGCGGACTGGATGCCCTTGTAAAATCCAGCAAAGTTGGCCAGCTTGCGGCCGTTGTTTGTCAGAGAACCCATGAACCTACAATTCACCTAGTTAGTCTAGTTCTTACCATCCCAAATTCAATTGACGTCCCAAAATTAAGTGACGAAGGACGGGGGGTTTTTGGAGCAAGGGGCCAAACTGACCAGTATGCGCAAGTTTGGAAAGCCGCATCATAGAACCCGTAGAACATGTACAAAAACATTGGACCCACGAAGCCGTGACTGGTCCAGTCGGTATCCGCCTTGACTGTTTCGCGAGTGTAGGTCTTCTGAAACGCATAACCTCCACCCCAGACACCCATTGTGAGAACCAGCAAAAGGAAAAGATTCAGCCTGGCTCGGGTGGGCCGAGAGAGAAATTTCAAGTCCAGTAATTGCCCGAAGACGAACGCTCCGAGCATCTGCATCAGCCAGTACAGCAGATTGTTGAGGGCTCGTGTACGGATGGTGAAGTATGCACCATTGACACTGTTGAACTGGTACGCCGTAAACCAGTTACTTGTCAAAAACATCGGGAAGAGGAGGAGAATATAGTAGTCGGTGCGGAGAGTATCATAGAGACCCATAAACTCGGATTTCCAGGTAGGGTTCTTCATGACGATAACGTGCGAGCCATCTTTGCGCTTGACATACTTTGAATCCGCGAGGCCCCAAGCCAGGACGAAACCCAAGGCCATGAGTACCATGAATGCAATGTAAGTCCCATCGTTTACTTGACCAGCCACTGAGTGCAGGTTTTGACCCAAAGGCACCTACAATGCAAAAGCGTCAGCTTTGGATGGGAGGTCAAGGTCAAGGATACATACCAAGCTGCCGATGACGCCGCCAAGATTGAAGATCACCCAGAAAATGGCGATGAATTTGCCCTTCTCCTTTTCGTTCGGATAACTCATCATGACGGCACCCTGGGCGCACCACAGTAGGCCAGCGCAGGCGCCTAAAAGTGCACCAGCAAAGATCAGAAAGCCAGAGTTTTGGTTGTGGTTGTAGGACAGTAGCGATGCGACATAGAGAAAATAACCAAAACCACCAATTGAGAGCGTCAAACGCAGACCAATGCGGTTCGCAACAGAGCCCGCGAAAAACCCAACAACCCCAAAGGTACTGTAAAGGGCGGTGTTGGCGTTGTTCACGTCCTTGAAACCTAGCTGACCTCCACCTCCGAGGCCACTAACGGCATTGAACATTCCCGGGCAGAGGAAGCAGACAAAGGAGACCAGGAGAAGCTGTGCATCAGGCGAGGCAAAGTACGGCAGAGTCCATGGACCAATCTTAAAAGATTTATACATCCAGGACTTGCCAGTAAGCGGGTGGACTTGGCCGGCCTCAGGGTCAATTGTGACAGCCTGCACCTCCTTTTCGGGCTGCTGGCTCTCCGGGCCAGTTGTTGAGGTAGCCATTTTTTGTCAAATCCCCGAGGTCGAACAGCAAGATGCTTTTGAGACGATTTGAGGAGTGACTGGGGACTTTTCTGCCACTCGCTAAGTAAGAGCAAAGACACAATCAGCCGACCAATCTTGCACAGTACAGTAGAACCAGAATTGGCAAAGTCAAGTGGGATAGCGGCAAGTGATGTATGTGTCTAGGTCTTAAGGATAATTGCGGGACTGAGATATGTGCCGGAGCAAGAAAATACAATCCGCAGGAGATAACGGGGATGGGATGGCGAAGTCAAAAACTGGACGGGAAGACACAAGAGGAGGAGGATGAGAGAACTACCCGACGAACGAAGTAAAGATACCAGACCACTGAGGTCAAGAAAGAGAGAGGTAGGCGGGAATTCAGTAACATAGAAATATGTAGGTTTCCGGGGACACACACACACACACACAAACACACACAAGGCTAGCGACGGAAATATTTTTCAAACCAAGGCGTGACAAGGGATGAGATTGTTTTGGGGACGATCCGGGGTAAGAATGTAGGGGGCGGACACGAAAACAAATAGTCTCGGAAGGGAGAAAGGATTCGGATTGTGGTGTGATGGAACGTACTGTTATCGAATTGCCAGTAAGGATAGTAACAGAGAGGCGAAGTGGAGAAAGTGTGGGAAGGGAATCAGGAAATAAATATCTTGTTAGGTTGAGGAAGATGAAGAGGAGGAGGAGGAGAAGAAAGAAGAAGAAGAAGAAGAAGAAGAAGAGGAGGGGGCGTGAAGCAAGAGGCGAGAGGCGAGAGGTCAGGGAATTGTGAGCTGATTATTGTTGTGGTTGTAGTTGTGGTTGATGTTGATGTTGATGCTGATGTTGATTGAGTTTGGTAAATGAAGGTGGTGGATACCACCCTAGGACAAGCGGAGAGGGAAAAAAAATTACCAAGTAAGACTGAGATGCGACAACAAGATAACCTTTGAGCAAATGAATGGAGGATAACGAGACAGCCTGGGAGATAATGAGTAACTACTCCACGGGTACTGTACCTACTAGCTAGACTAGTAGACTAGTAGTACTCAGTAGTACCTTATCATCGGTACCTGTTTAGTTGTCTCTTCAGCCACGAATCAGAAGCGGCAGGGTTGCGAGTCGATCGCCGTCCACATGGGATGATCCACCCGACTGCAGACAGGCAGGTAGATAGACGAGGTGAAAAGTGGTAATTACTATATGTAACTAGGAGGTGGGGGAGAGAAGGCCTGGGGAAGAAGAGTTGGAGCCTTGGAGGAAAAGAAAAAAGAGTACATACAAGCAAATACACACATTAGATAGTGATACGCGGCAGGATTTAAATAGTAAAGTTACCTACCTGCTTACCTTACTTGCCGGGCTAAGAACAGTGAATACCCAAGTACATCAAAGATTGTCAATGATTCAACGATGATTCCAAGCAGACCTACGGACGGTAACGAGCTCCAGAACCACCAACTTGACTTGATGGTTGGTCCGCGGCGAGCGGGTTTATCTCCGCATGCATGACAGTGCAGAGGTACTCAGTTAGGTCTGCGAGTGGCTTTGTCGAGGAAAGGTACCTAAGTTAGTTACTGGCTAACCACCGGACTCAAATTCTGACAAATTGATCATGATCCGGATCCTGTGACTGATTACTTGATAAGCCAATGTCTGAATGAATGAAGATAAACAACCCACCCATCGTTGAATTTGCGACGGTGACATTGGGCAGCTGAAGCTTAGCCGAATGCGGGGGGCCCAGTCGGGTCCACGGCTGCCACCGTTGCATTCTACCTTATCATCTGCGGAGCTTCAGGCCAGTTTCACTGGCTCCTGGGGCAACTCAGGATGTGTTGTCGTGTCTAGAAAGGTGATCCCCGTATTATGTGCTTGGGGGCCAGGTGAGTGAATGAGTGAATGTATAATACTGTACTGAACATGTGGTAAGGGCAATGATAATGTGCCGGCCCTAGTCGTCAGGCGATCGATAACTAGAAGGTGCTCGATCTTACTCCGACAGTAAGTCGACTAACTAAGTTACTACTAGGTTTACTCTAAGTTGGTTTTTGTTGGAGGTTTCGTGACGATAACTAGTTACTTCGGCTAAGTCTGGACGCCGCAGTACGGAGTGCGGAGTATTGTAAATTACGTAGCTGTAGGGTAGCTAGTGTACTCAAATGGTAACTAGCTGCTGCGTAGTTTATTCCTAGCTTGTTCCGGTTGCCGAATATTAGTCATAGTAATTGTTTGTACTGGAAGTTACTGTACATGTTTTTGATACACCCAGGTATCGGAGACAGTACGTAATTGTAGTACTGGTCGTACTAGACATACTCGCCAGTACAAGTCTCGAACGTTGACGGATGCTGACTTAAGCCATATAACATGTTTGGTAAGCCAGTCGGCCATGTAAGCCAGTCGGCCACCCATGTATTACATATAAAATAGCTGATTTTCAAATCATATTATCTTCACCAATTTCTATTGAATCTTTTTAAAATTAAATATTAAAAGTTATATATATATAATCTTCTGATGCACAGAATAAAAAGTTTTAATTATCTTTATTAACTTTAATATATACTATTTATATATCTTATAGAAATTACACTCTATTAAAGAATTACTACTGGTAAATAATAGATTTTAGAAGAAAATAAACTGATTTATTATATTAACTAAGCTCTTAGATTATATATTACAGACTTTCTAAAGTATATATTCTAAGATTGTTGAACTATTCAAAGATTAAAATCAGCTTTGTATATACAATACATAGGTGGCCGACTGGCTTACATGGCCGACTCGCTTACCGATTACGTTAAGTTAACGTTAAGTTAGCTGGCAGTTTTCTGTCTGTCCGGCCAAAACAGATTAGCTGCAGAATGATCTCACACCCCAATCAAGGTATGTTGTTAAGGATGCTTGGTGATGTCGTGGGAATGTCAACTTCATGCCTTTCCGGTTGCTTGACGAGGCGCCTTGTTTCAATGACAACACACCCATACCAAGCACTGTCCATGACCTCAACAGAAAGTAGCCCTCATCGTCGATATCAACAACATATTTATCACTCATTGAAGTCTATGTCTTTGGTTCTAAATTCGGCGCGATAACTCGCCGATGCTAATATACAGACAGGTGTTGGTACAATAAGTGGCGGCGCAGTCCTTAGATCATGGGATCAAGAAAACCCTTCCCAGTCCCTTGCACGCATCCTCTCCGTGATTCATCATTCGTAAATCATAGATCAAGCAACTGGCAATGCCCAACGTATATAGCCGGCCTATCGCTAGTCTCAAGACCAGAGGCAAAAGAAGTTCACGCGCTGGGACCACGCATGATACACTCTCTCCAACGCCGATATCCTTCATTTATGTTTGTGCCATTTCGTAGCAAGAATAGGATAAAGGCGAGTGGGGAGTCCCCTATAGGAGGAGGCGTTCACAGACGAGGCTGCTCGCGTTTCCAGCCGGCCTCTTCCGCGATCAGTTCAGCCGCACGCTCACCGATGGCCAGCACGGTCAACATGGGGTTGATGGTAGGCATCTCTGGGAAGACACCCGCGTCCGCGATACGTACATTCTTGAGGCCCCGCACCTTCAACTGAGGGTCAACGACGGCCATAGGGTCACGGGCCAAGTTACCCATTTTGGTGGTTCCAGCCGGGTGGTACACAGTATGCGCTACGCGACGGCCGTACTCTGAGAGTTCTTCGTCCGTCTGGACCTTGGGACCCGGAGCCACTTCGCGTTTGATCCACTCCTTGAAGGGCGACTGCTGAGCGATCTCGCGGGCCGCCTTGAAGCCAGCGACAATGGTGGCAGCATCGTAGCCCTCCGGGTCGGTGAAGTACCGGAAGTCCAGGGCGGGCTTGACGCTGGGATCAGCAGAGGTCAAAAAGAGACGACCACGGGAGCGGGGGCGAGGGATGTTAGGGGTCATGCAGAACGCATCTACCGGTGTGTCATAACCCAAACGAGTGGTGTTCAAGCAGAAGGGGATCTGGTAGCAGTGCATCATGATATCGGCGGCGCGACCATCAAAACCATGTGCATTGGAAAGCTCGCGACGTAGGAAGATCCCGGCATCAGAGTCCATGGTAGTCTGGTTGGGAGGCACAGGACGGTTGAGCTCCCAGATGATTATACTCTCGGGGTGATCCAGGAGATTCTCGCCGACACCAGGGATGTCCTTAACAACCTGGATGCCAAGAGAGCTCAGCTGCTCACGCGGACCCAGACCAGAGAGCAACATCAAGCGAGCAGTATCAACAGCTCCTGCGCAGAGAATCGTCTCCTTCTTAGCCCGTAGGGTGTGCTTAGCGCCAGATTGCAGCGTGACATCAACACCAGTGACAGTGTCACTCTCGACGTTGACGCGTGACACCCAGGCGTTCGTCAAGATGGTCAGATTCGGACGCTTCTCTTCACCACGGAGAATGGGGTGGATATAAGCGACACTGGCGCTGCTACGGCGGCCATCGTCGGGGTTGTAAGAGACGGAGAAGAAGCCAACGCCCTCAGTCAATTCACCCTTGGAGCGGATTTCCTTGTTGAAATCAGAGATGATGGGGATGTTCATTGCGCTGGAGCAAGCCTGAACCCAGTCCTTGCACAGTTGATTACGGTGACGGCTGTGAACAGGCTGGACGGTGTTGCGCAAATTGTCAAGGACGCGGGTGAAGGTCTCGAAGGACCAGCCTGTGCAGCCGGCCTGTTCCCATCTCTTGCAATCGTATTCGAAAGGACGGAAAGAGATCAAGGTATTGTGGCTGGAGCAACCACCCAGCACCTTAGCACGAGAGTGACGGATATGACTGTTGCCTGTATGAATCTTCAATGAGTATTGGGCCTAGATCTCTTTCTTTACTGGACCGGGGCCGGTCGATTTCTACATACCCATTGGTTGTTCAGTTGTACCGTAGTCATAGTCCAACTCGCCTCCCAACAGATTTAACCATTCACGCAGGTTGAGCACGCGGTCATCCATGAAATCACTGGGACCACCCTCAATCACCAGGATGCGCTTGTTAGGCAAGTACTCGGCCAAACGACTAGCAATGACACAGCCTGCTGTACCACCTCCCACGATGATGTAGTCATAACTGTTGACATCGCCGGCGGGAAAGTCGTTTGTGGTTGCCATGCTGAGCAAGATGAAATCAAATCCAATCCCAAAGCAGGAGATTAGGGTCGTGAGAAAGTACCAGAGATAACAAAAATGATGGCAGGGAGGAAACGGGGCGGGCGGGAAGGGGAAAAATAGAAAAGACGGCGGGGACGAGGGGAAGTAAATGTCTTTAAATTGAGTACTGGAGAGGGAGACGCGGCGAGTCTGTAGAGACCCCGAAACTATCAGGCCATGTTTTCTACTCCTAAAATTTGCCAACAATTCCCTCCATTTCCACTCCTCCATGTTCTCCCGCACACCTTTTTTCCCTCATCTTCTTCTTCCTTTTTTTTTTCTTTCCCCTCCTTCCTTTGTTCTTTTTTCCCATAATTTTCCTGGACTGGGAGAAAATCTCCACCCCAGGATAAGGCACCGAGTCCGGATCATCCAATAATGATAGTCGTGTGGCGGAAAGTACGCCGCAGTGGGGCACTAGCTCAGCCTCGGCGGTGTGCCCATTGGAAAGTAGTCTGCTGTGCAGAGACGGTACTCTGTAGTTAGTTATTAGTAGAAAACAATACCAACTTATGTGCACCCCACACAGATTCTCACTGGCCAAGGAAATCCCTTCCTATTCTTACTAATTGACTACCTAGTAGCCCGAGTCGGCATCCCTCTCTCCCTCCGACCCGGGCATCTTACTGACCTTGCATGGGTACCTATAGTGACTAGTATTGTACTCCTACAGTGTAAACTGATAAGCTTCGGCTCCAACATCCCTCCCATCGTCTACATATACTATATCGCGCAGGATGGACCATTAATGCATAAGTGCTTACCTATAGAATCCATTGGTCCTCAATTCCTCGTTGACCTTCCGCGGTCCGCCCATCTCCTACGACGTCAGTACTCCACATGAGACCCGACACTAGGCCGCGCCACGATCCCGCGAACGGGGCACTAGTCAATGGTAAACTCCATCGGAGATGCAGGGCCGAAGGCATTCCGGGATCGCATTGCCTGCTTAGGCCTTAGGGTTGAGTTAACAGGCGGCAGCACAGGTATACCGGATTGAGCAAGAGAATAATAGACCGGCATGCAAGTTGAGATGAATGCTACATAGTACAAGGAACTTATCTTCTTCTCTTTCTGTTCACCTCATCATGGCTTGTAACCAGCTGTTCGATAAGGTTTTCTATCGCGTCCGCATGGGCTTCGTCCTCCGTAGCTGAAACGGCCGTTTCACCACTAACTTACACTGCCGCCGGAGGATCGCTGCCGTTCGTATTAGGTAAGCCTAAACACCCGCCGCCGGGTTTGGCGGTGAAGCCTGCACACCTCCCGAGCCATGCCAATTGTGATCCTATTCGGGCTTAGTTCCTCCGCCACTTGCGTCTGATCTTGCTCCGGGCTAGTTACCTAGAACTAATGAGCCTCGGAGCAATCTTGCAACTTCATTCATTACATCTACTTTTTACTTTTTCCATACAACTCCAGATAGGATTTGTGGTCCTTTCTCTTCGGAAACAGTGCCGTACAATCATACGGGCATCCTTATCTTCTTTCCCCTTCCCCTCCTCCCACGGGCCTTCTCCTTTCCTTACACACCATTCTCCCTCTTCGCATCAGTAGAGCAATAGGGCTCAAATTCCCTATCAGAGCCATGTCTTCCCTCCCTTTTTCTACTCGCGAATTGTATTATGACGGCAAGACCCAGCCTGCCTCTTCAGGCAAAACCTTCCAATCTATCAACCCCTCAAACGCCAGTCCTTTGGCTGAGATCCAGGTTGCTTCACATTCCGATGTAGATGCAGCCATCGCTGCCGCCGACCGGGCCTTCCCCTCATGGTCTCAAACACCACCCGTTGCACGTGCCCGCATTCTCCAGAAAGCCGCCGCCCTGCTCCGCGAGCGCAACGACGATATCGCTCGTGTTGAAACTCTTGACTCAGGCAAGGCATATACCGAGACAAGCACTGTCGACGTCGTCACCGGAGCCGACGTACTCGAGTACTATGCAAATCTGGTTGGAGGTGGCGGGCTGAATGGAGAGACCACACAGTTGAGAGAAGATGCTTGGGTGTACACCAAAAAGTCTCCGTTGGGTGTTTGCGTGGGCATCGGAGCTTGGAACTACCCTATTCAAATGTTAGTCAGCCTTCCTCCTCGGCCGCTCAAATCACCCCCCCC